AATAACCCTGGCTTCTATAATCTTCTATGCAAAAGACGCGTCTTCCAACTCACTGAATTTTCACTGGCTGTCTCCAGTGCCTGGAATTTTCTCCTTCTCTGTCTCCTGGTTTTGCTAGCTTCCTTCACATCTCAACTGAAATCGCACCTTCCGCAAGAGATTTCCTCATCATCATTTAACTCCAGGTAGGGTCTTCCCTTTGATATTGTCTCCAATCTGTCCCACTCTCATCTGTACATAGTTATTGGCATATTGTCTTCCCCCTTCGGCCATGAGATTCTTGAAGATAGGGATTATTTTTTGCCTTTCTTCTTATCTCTAGCACTTAGTACAGTATCTGGCACAGAGTAGGAGTTTAATAAATGCTTGTTGACTTGATTTGTGGAAAGGGGAATTGATTAATGGAGGGGTTGATGGATTGTCTTGGTAAAGTGAGGTCTCAGATAACATATATTTGTAAGATCACAATCATCATAGTTTTGTGATTCCCTCTCCTCCCCTCTCCTGGTTTACCTATTGACTCACAAGTAGTCAGACATAGAACTTAAACCCAGGTCCTCTTGACTCCAAGGTAAGCATTCTATACACTAAACCATGATGTCTCTATGTCTTTGGGTAGTAGAACTGGACCTGTGATGTCATTAATGAATTCCCAGGTGAGGAAATTCCCTCTACCAATATAAGTCAGCACCTTCTGTGCAACTTATGTCTTAGAAAGTCTTCTTTAGCTCTGAAAGTGAAGTGACTTGCCCAGGAACAGGGACTTGAACCCAGGTTTTCCTAATTTCAAGGCCAGCTCTCTAGCCACTAGGCAGAACTGTCTGTCTTTACACATATAAAATGTGAGTCATGGTGAATTATCTTAGAGATCCTTTTATCCAGCCACTCACTTCAATGTAAGAATCAGTTTTTGAGTGTTATTATTGGTGGTCATTCGTTTCACTCAAGACTGACTCTATGTGCCTCCATTTGAGGTTTTCTTGGCAAAGATACTAGAGTAGTTTGCCACTTCCTCCTCCAGTGGGTCTATTTTGTCAGGCAATCTGAGTTCCAGTGACTTGCCCAAGGTCAAGTTTTAGAGCATTGCCTGACAAATTGTCATCCAGCTTTCTCTTCAATGATGGGGAGTTTGTCACCTGACAAAGAAGCCCGTTCCATTGTTGAACAGTCAGAAAATTCATATACTGAGTCTAAATTGGTTTCCCTTTCTTCCTATTTCTGAACTCTAGAGAAACACATACTAAATCTACCCCCACCTTTTTATTGCAAAACCTTTTTGAAGATAATCATGAGCACCATCTTACTTTCTGGGCTCTCACAAAGATCAAATGAATCACAGATATGAGGAGAACATGCTTGGCAAAAATGTGTGTGTGTGTGTGTGTGTGTGTGTGTGTGTGTTTGTGTGTGTGTGTGTGTGTTTTAAAGTGGATTGTCCCCGGCATAGCAACAGAATTGCCATTCTGGACAAAAGACATCAGGCTGACTGGCTGTCTAAGGGATAGAGTTACTCACAGTGCCTGGCTCCGGAAATAGCTTCTAGAGTCAGTCACAAGTCAAAGTGGAAATTCAATATTGAAAGAACTTTAGGTCATTCATAGATCTTGTCTTAAAAATAATTAGAAAATGCTAATGCTTATAAGGTATCTTTGTCTAGAAGGTTTTAAGTTTTTCAAGACTACTTTTAGATTTATCACCTCACTTGATCCTGAGAGGTAGGCAGGGTAGATGATTATTATTTCCATTTGATAGATGAGTAAACTTCTCCTCAGTGAGGACCTGCCATGTAATTGTAGGATCAGGATAAGAACCCACATGGCCTGGCCCTCAGCCTACTTTCTCTTTCTGTACACGCTCTCTACACCTTGGAATAGAAGTATCAATAATCTACATCAATGCAGCTAGTGTTCATTTGCCACTGCCATCCCAGTGTTTTTAGCTGGTGTACACACACACACACACACACACACAGGCATAGACTCAGCAATTCATTTATCAAGGCAGCTAGGTATCACAGTGGCTACAGTCCTGGACATATAGTCTGGAAGACCTCAATCCAAATTCTGCTTCAGACAGTGACTGTGTGACCTTGGGCAACTCACTTGACTTCTCTTAAACTGCCTCAGTTTCCTCATCTATAAATTAGGTAAAATAATACCAGAGGTTGCTATGAGAATAAAATGTGATTACAAATATAAAGTACTTTGCTAACCTTAAAGTACTCCATAAATGCTAGCTATTCTTATTAAATTTGATATTTATTCTTATAAATATCAAATATTTATTCATCATCTAGTATGGTCAATGTATTGTCTTAGGATCTAGGGAAAAAAAATCAAAGTGAAATAAGACATGGTCCCTTTCTTTAAGGAACTTATAATCTGGCAGGAGATATAAGATATTTATACAAATTCTCCAAATTAGAATATGGTGAGGGCATACAAAACTGAGAATAAGTGACACTTCTATTAAGCATCAATTCAGACACAGGAAACAGTGAAAACTATGTAACTGCTTCATTTCTTTCTTCTTATATTCAGCCTCTACTGATGACATCAAACTGAAAGAGGAGAGTGCAACAATAGGAGACCTTTTTATTTTTTTAATCCCAAACCCAAATTCTCAGATAATCATTCAAGGTGAATTTGAACTCTGAACCATCTGCAGCTCCCCCAGTTCTAATTGGACCTCTGGGGTTGTCCTCTGGCCCAGCGACTTGTTAAAATGCTACCTTTTGAAGAGGTTCTGTTAGAGTTGGCCGCATGGATCCTAGGGGCACATGAAGATCTGGGGGAAGGAGAGCTCAGGCCCGCAGTGCCGTGCGCTCCAGCAATCTTCAGACACAAGCTCGGCCAGGAGACATGGAGTGCCTCCTCTGAAATGCCACCTCGGTGGGGCTGAGCATCCAAATGTGGATCAGGTTCCTCAACTCTGCAGCTGGCAGTGCTGGGTGGGAAAATAAGAGTCCTGTTACAATTTAGAGGTCAGGGGAGGGGAACATGCCAAGCCTCCCTTTCACTCAGCAGAGGGTATAGGAAGGGAAAAGGGGGAAAAAAGCCACAGAGCAGGTTTTACTAAAGTGCTCATTCTCCAGGCCCAGCAACCAGAGCTAGAGGGGCTCACTGTGAGCTTGGAGATCGTCTAAGGAAAGAGGATGGAACGAAAAACAAAGACAAGATTTATACCTAGCAAGTACAACCATGCATCAAGAAACTCACACATGCACTGACATACACACCAACATTCACGTACCATGTTGAAGGGACCAAGACAGAGAGGATTTGTGTAGCAGAATTAAATCACCAGCACAGCATCTGAGTATCTCATACACACACTCATACTGTCAACCCCCCTCCACTCACTCAAACACACAATGGATCTGTATGTAATCTCATTATGATGGGGTTTACACTGCAACTCATCCATGACTTCTTTATGAAAATATGATTATCACCTATGTCTTTCCATAAATCTTCCATAGGAAATATATCAAACACTCTGAAGGCCTTTCTCTAGCTCTTTGAATATTTCATGGAGTGTATGTAACATTTGGACCATCCATCCATCCATTATCCCTTATTCTCACTACATGAATGGTCATCTCTTTTTTTAGCCACACATGGGATGATTATTTTAACAGCTGGAACTCTACAAAACTCAGCAATTGAGAGCCATGGTGATTTAAAAGAGATTGACTTAGCTACCCAAACCACAAAACAAAGGAGTAAAGAATGCTTATTGCCAATTTGTGACAAATGTTTGGATGGTGTATTGAGCTAATTCACCATTACTGTACATCTATTTTGGACAGGCACCATAGATGGATGATAAACTAGGCAAAGACCTAACTTGGAGGACATCAGACTAGATCGTATTTATCTACATCTATGTGGACTTTGTGTTAAATAAGTCAGAATAATCTATCAGACTAGCTAAAACCAATAAAATATAAAGTGCTAGATGGAAAAGACTGTTTCATTTTTGTCTTCAAATCCCTTGTGCCTAATACTGTACCTAGCACATAGTAGGTGTTAAATAAATATTTATTGACTGATTTGCCTGAGACTTAGTGAAGCCTAATAAATTTTTGTTGAAAGAATCAATGAATCCTCAAGTTATAGTCAATTGAGGCTTTATTATACATATCTATGTATATTATTTATATATATTAATATGCATGCATATATATTTACACACAATATGTATATACACATATATCTAGATACATACACACAGATACACAGATACATATGTACACATATATGCATATATATATATATATATACACACACACACTTAGTTCTGGTTTGACTATGTATATGATTACATATATTTATATAGGGCACCTAGGTGGCACAGTGGATAGAACACTGGGCCTGGAGTCAGGAGGATTCCTCTTTCTGAGTTCAAATATGGCCTCAGACACTTATTAGTTGTGAGACCCTGCCAGAAAGTAAGTATCATCACAAGTAAAGAATGTAAGATACCCCTCAATTAGCTTAATGACTAGGCACAGTGCTGTCAGCTAACTCCTTGAAACTTTTTGTTTCTATATGTTCAGGGCCTGGCCTTCAGGGGTTAATAAAAAGGCTGTCTCAGGGTAATAACAAATAATAATAAAATAAATAAATAATAAAAAGAGAAGTGATATTGACAGGTAGGTGGTGCAGGACCTGGGCCTAGAGTCAGGAAGACTCATCTTCCTTAGTTCAAATTTGGTCTCAGACAGTTACTAGCTGTGTGATCCTGGGCAAGTCACTTAACCCTGTTTACCTCAGTTTCCTCATCTGTAAAATGAGCTGGGGAAGGAAATGGGAAACCACTGTATTATCTTTGCCAAGAAAACCCCAAATGGGGTCACATGGAGTCAGACACAACTAAAAAAAAATGACTGAACAAAAACACATTTATATATATATATATATATATATATATATGTGTGTGTGTGTGTATATACATACATACTCACACACACACACACACACACACACACTTGACTCTTAGCCCATATAGATGCTAAAAATAGTATAACTGGAACTACAGAGAAATTAACATGGCACCTGTATAAGAACGACATGCACACTTGTGATGCATTCTGTTTCTCCTCTTCTTTAGTTCCATTCCATTATCTCATCAGGAATGGAGAAATGGGGAGGTTCCTGAAGGGTACCCCAGAAGAAGATAAGCTCTGGTAGATCCTCCCCTCAGAGCTGGGAAGACTGCAAGAGACAGACTGGGTGTCATCCATGGACTAGCCTATCTCTCTTCAGAGAGGCTCCTTTCTAGAATAGCCTGAGGGGAACACATTTTTCAACTGCGGCAACCCCTAAAGACAAACCATTCAGATCTATTTGGTCATTATTGGTGGAGTGAGGACCCATGATGACAAAAATCACAACTACTTGGAGTGTTAAAGCTTAGCAATTTTGCCTGTATTTGTGTTATGATTAATGTTTAGTAACAGACTATGCACTTGGCTGAAATTTGATGAAAACTCAAACACTAGAAAACACCCAGTTGAGGTATAAATTTTTTTCAGTTCTGTTAATGTAACTTTCCAACTGAATTCATTAAATCCTTTATGTGTGTGTATGTGTATGGTGGCAGTGGCAGGGCAGTTATAGGGAAGTGTGATTGTGTGTGTGTGTGTGTGTGTGTGTGTGTGTGTGTGTGTGTGGTGATTAGAATTGTGTTTTTGCTTGGTTCATACCGAATGTTGATCATCAATCAACCACTCCCACTAATACTGCTGCACTGTTATCCTTTACAGGCATGTTTAACTCAAGGCAATGATTTAGAGACTTTCCATCAGTTCACTCAAAGGAGGAGAGCTTTCTGTCCTCAAAGGGACAGCGCCCTCTGGTGCATACGCTAGGTTAGGCAGGGAGGGGCAACCAGAGAAGTTAGTAGACATGCACACAGATTGCTTCCGTCTACACCGAAGTTGCTGCTTCTCCATATAAAAATGTAAATGGTGTGGTCACCTACTCATTGTATGTTCTAGAAGTTATAGGGTTATTTTATTTCCTAGGGTGGCTGGAATAACCATAACTGCTATTTGTAAAGTGTTTTTAAGTTTATAAAGCACCTTATGTGCATCATTCTTTTTGAACCTCATAACAATCCTGTAAGGTGAATAGCAGAGGAAGGTGGATACTAGAAGTGTTATAAACTCCCCATTTTATAGATGAAGAAACTGAGGTTCAGGGAAATTAACTAATTTGTTTAAGATCATGGAGCTAATAAGTATCTTTGAAATCAAGGCTTCCTAACTCCAAGTCTCTCATTCTATAAATATTCTATTATGCTTCCTCTTCGTGAAATATGTATCATAAAAAGTACATGAAGAGGCATTGTCTCCATAAGTTCAGATAGGTTTAAAGAGATTAACACAATCAACTCTGAACCAATGAGGAAAAACAGGACTAAATCCTGGTCCTTTGAGTTTGCAAAATGGGGAAAGAGAAACTGGACTTGCAAAAATCAGTCTTTAAATCTACTCAAACTACTATTGAATGAAAGACATCTCCAAAGGTCATATCGGAAAGGAGGAAATTGCCAGTGTCCCTCAGTGTTTTACCCACAAATACCTTGGTATAAAATGAATGAGGAGAAAAGCATGGTCCAGCTGTATTTGATCCAACACAGTAGTCTTGTGTTAGCTATACTGCCCTGTGGAACGCAATAAAAAATAATAATAATAACCTCTCAGTTTCCTTATCTGTTAAATGGGAATAATAGCTGTACTACCTACTTCACGATATTATCATGGGAGTCAAATTGATTCAAGATACTGTAGAGAGGGTGATGATGAACTGGACTAGAATATCTCTGAGCTCTCTTCTCAATCTGAGATTCTATAAAATCAGGCAGCTGAGTGGTGCAGTAGATAGAGTGCCTGGAGTCAGGAAGACCTAAGTTCAAATCTGACCTCTGACACTTCCTAGTTGTATGACCCTGGCCAATTCACTTAACCTTAGTTTCCTCAACTGTAAAATGAGGATAATCATAGCACCCATATCTAAGGGTTGCTGTAAGGATCCAATGAGATAATAATTGTAAAATACTTAGCAGAGTTTCTGGCACATAAATACTACATAAACATTAGTTATTATTATTGACAACAAACATGCAATTTACCTTACATGGTAGTAAAAAGACCAATATGTACCCATGAGAGCTTTGCTTTTTCTCTTTTTTTCCTTTTTGTTTTGTTTTTTCTTTTTTTTCTTTTTTTGGTCTAGGCAATGGGGTTAAGTGACTTGCTCAGGGTCACACAGCTAGTAAATGTTATGTGTCTGAGGTCAGATTTGAACTTAGGTCCTCCTGAATCCAGGGCCAGTGCTCTATCCACTGAGCCAACTAGCTGCCCCAGCTTTGCTTTTTCTTCTAGAAGACCTGGGTTCAAGTCTAACCTTTGACATTTATGACTATATGACCTGGGCAAGTTACTTAATGTCTTTTTGCCTCAATTTCCTCAAATGTAGAATGGAGGTAATAATAGAACCTGCCTCCCAGGGTCCTCATGAAAATAAAGTGATATAATAGTAAAGCATTTAGCACACAGTGCCTAGCACATAATAAGTGCTATATAAACGGTAGCCATCATCATCGTCGTCATCCATCATCATCATCATCATCATCTTCATCATCAGTGACAACAGGATGTAATTTACTTTATGTGGTACTAAAATAACCAACATGTACATATGTTCCTTCTAGAAGACTTGGGTTCAAGTCTAACCTCTGACATTTACTGACTATGTGACCTTAAGCAAGTCATTTAACCTCTTAGTGATATTGGTAGCCCTCTAAGATTATAATTTGCAGAAAAAGTGCTGACCCATACCAATAGAAAGAATTTCTTCATCTGGGAGTTCCAGTTTGGAATTCCATTGGCATATCAATGAAATTATAAATATATATATACACACACACACACACACACACACACACACACACACATATATATATATATATATATGCATCTCCACAAATGAATTTTCTGACTACAACGTTCATTTGAGAGTGAAGGTTCCTAAACTTTTTGGTGGAGGGGGGGCAGAACTCTGATTTCATCAGTGTAAAGAACTCTCAGCATGAAAACTCCTTCCACTAGATAAAAATTGATAACTCTTTTGAACAGATATTCTCAGACAGCTGCCTGGCACTCCTAGAGGTTAAGTGATATGTTCATGCTTCCGTAACTAGTATGCTAGAATGTATCAGAGGCAGAATTTGAACCTGGGTTTTCCTGATTCCAAGGCTGGCCCTCCATCCACTTCACACCATGCTGCCTTCTAAATCCTTTCACTTTAGACAATGTTAGATTCCTTGTTTAATGTTAAATTCCAAGTCAAAACACTTGACTTGTCTGGAAGTTTATTCTAATTTGATATCCTCACTTCGTCAATGAATCCTCACTTGCTCACTCATCTGGGCCACAGCTGAATGTACGTGTGCACACTTTCTTACCATCCCTCAATGTCTTTCCCCACACCCCACCTAGATCATTCCAGGATAAATGTTATTTCTTCAAGGTGGACTATCATCGAGATCAAAGATTTGTTGACATGACATAAAACATTAAGCCACCCAACTCCTAGCCTGATCCATAACCATAGCATCTTTACAAGGTTTGGCAGGAGGGAGTCGTTAATATTTTAGAAGATTCCCTGCTTTTTGGCCAAAAACAAAATCTGCCCTCAGCTTTCCAATTAGCATGTTTTATGACTAGAGAGAAGCTGATTTTCTTCCTTGTAAGTGCCTTGTCTTATGGAAACCATCACCCACCAGATAAATTACAAAATTATAAACAACTTTCCACATACACTCAGGCCCAAGATGAACACAAAAATGGAGGCCCAGAAGCCTCTTGCTTGGCTTTCCTGAGGACATGCTTTATTCTGTCTTCCAAAGGCTCTGCTTTGTTAATGGAACATTAAATGCTATTCTTACCAAGAGGTGTGAGATGAATGTTTCAGCCAAATCTCCTTCAGCAAGAGATCTAGATTGTGACATGCCATCAGGGAATGGGAACAAATGAATAACCAGGGCACAGCTTGACTTAATTTCTACTAGATGCATGTTTAAATACATTTTCTTTATCTCGGACTGTGGAGTGCTGTGTCTTAACAGGAAAGGGTTCCACCAAAGCGTCTCTTCAGTTTTGCTGTCGGTGACCTTCTCATGAAATCTCTAAACATTAAGAGAATATTTTTCAAGCTATGCAAGTGTCTTTTTCAAATATTTTCAGCATATGGTTTAATGTGATTACTTTAGCAAGTACTTATGTAGGATAAATTGTGATGATGGAAGATTCTGTGTTTTCTCCCAGCATTAAAAGAGGGAAATTACACAGAGCTACCCCGAGAGTTTTTCTTTTCTTTCCCAATTCACATTCTAGATAGGCTCTTCCATCAACATCAACCAGTATTTACTGAGTGCCCATAGGGTGCCTGGCATTTTGCAAGGTGTTTTGAGTTTGCAACATCTAGGTAAAAAATGTCACTTTCACCGTGAAACTTTGAAATCTAATGGGGAAACAACACTGATAAACACAAATGCTTCATGAATACTGTATGTTGAAATATCTTTGGAGGATACCTCTAGCTTTAAAGTCTATAATTTCCTGATTTAAAATAATGCTACCCTGGAATGCAGTGTGGTCAAGTGGGGAAAAGCCCTGGCTCCATAACCTGGGTTCAAATCCTCCCTGTAATAATGCTTAGCACCTCAGTGATCTTAGGAAACTTCCATAAGCTCTTAGGGCCTCAGTTGCCTCTCAATAAAACGAGGCCTCTGACATCCTTTTTAGAACTTTAGTTTTTTATCGTACTGTCAGACTCAGTTGATATGTTAGTTTTGCCTAAATTTTTTTGCTTCTTTTCTTTTTCATTTTTTTTTAAAGAATGGCTCTCAAGACAGAAAGGAGAGAGATATGTTGGGAAATAAAAGTAATAGAAAAATAAAAAAAAGCAATAAAACAATGTTACCTTAGTAGCAGCTAGGTGGTGTAGTGGATAGAGTACTGGCCCTCGAATCAGTTGGATCTGAGTTCAAATTTGGCTTCAGACACTTGCTAGCTACATGACTCCTAGGCAAG